TGAAGGTTAGGACAATAGCACTCATATATTTAGGGTTTGACTTTATTGTGGTCTGCCTTAATATTCAATGTTAGGGGAGATGCAGAGGATGTTTTACCTACAGAAAGCATGCCTAGGTATTAGTTGTTCAGATTACGAGTTGCAGTGGCAAGTATTATTTTCTATTTTTGAATTCAGGAATATAATGGCATTTTCCTCAGTCACCTTTGTTTCTTTTTTTTTTTTTTTTTAATATATTTTATTGATTTTTTACAGAGAGGAAGGGAGAGAGATAGAGAGTCAGATACATCGATGAGAGAGAAACATCGATCAGCTGCCTCCTGCACATCTCCTACTGGGGATGTGCCCACAACCAAGGTGCATGCCCTTGACCGGAATCGAACCTGGGACCTTTCAGTCCACAGGCCGACGCTCTATCCACTGAGCCAAACCGGTTTCGGCTCACCTTTGTTTCTATATTCTTCAGATTACATGGGTGATTTTATAATTTTTTCTTTTAAAAGTACTTATCATATTTTAAAAAAGGGAGTTGAAATCCTATCAAAAGTTTGGTAATATAATTCTATACCTATAGATGTTTTAGGAAAATTTACTTACATGATTATTCTACTAGTAAATAATAACAGGCCCCTTTTAATTTTAGAGATTTATATAACACTTGAGCAGTTTAACATTTAGAATTTATACCAGAGCATAAATCTACATGTTAGCTACTGAAGATCATAAATATTTGTCTTCTTAAATACAAGTTCTTAACTGAAGTTTAAGTTATTAAAAGCATTTCTCAAAGTGTATTGATTTACATACAAAGTAATCATCTGCATGGATTGACTCAATTGTTGTGATCCCAAGTAGACTACATTAATTAGTTGTCTATAAATTAGTTGAAAGAGATATCTATGAGAGTGATGTTTTTGTTGCTGTTTGCTAGTATCCTGGTGAAACTGAGCTTTAAACTCAGACAGATGGTGCTATTCTTGAGGCTGTCGGCAAGATCCTATAACATTTAATTAAACAGTGGAATGATTCTCATGAGGACTTATAATTTGATATATGTAAGCTAGTAAACTGGCTTCTTCAGTAACATTTACAAATTTTATTTGAAAAAATTTTTACTTGTTCTTAGGAAATTTTTCTAATGATTCTGTTAAGATAAATAGCTTGGTTTGGTAGTTTATATGATAAACTCAAGGAATATTCTAGATGGAAAACCTCACCTACGTAGGCACTTATTTTCGAATGTAACTTGGATTTTGTTGCCGGACTTTCTCATATAATAGGTGTGATGCACTTTTAAGAACCCAGAGAACTGACTAACATTTCGAGAAAACTGACAAATTTGGTGATACATGTTAACTAACACTCGTTTTAGAAAAAAAACTCCTGACTTAGATTCCTTGTGATCTACCTTACATTTTAGTATTGGAATTGAAAAGAGAAATATTTTAAACAGCTCAATCCAGTTTTAATACATTACAGTATGTGGATAGAACTTGGTTTAGCTATTTTGTATAAGTTTTAATTTGGTGATAATATTGTATGGTTAGGATCCATAAATTTGTCAATTACATAAGTAACTACATAAACATACATTAATAAGTCATACTACAGCATTTCTAGACATCCTGGGAAATTATTCTTTTTTTAAAAAAATTTACTTACCTTTTATTTAGTGCCTAGTCTTCAGTAGATTGGAGACAAGACTGAAAGGTGATGTTTGAGGTTAGATTGGACGACAAGGAGCTGGAAGTTTATTCTGTATGTATATATGTGCTATCTATTGTAAATTGGCTGTAGAAATATGTATAGGGGAATGCCTGAAGGGTTTTAAGGAGGAGAATGATGTCATCAGATTTATGATTAAGAGAGAAAACTCATATGGGTTCTGTGGAGTGTGGATTGTAACAGCAGAGAAGCTATGGGAGTAGTTTAGATGTGAGAAATTATGCAGGGCTAGTAGGAATGGAGAGAAAGAAGTGGACTCAAGTAATATTTTGGAGGATAACAGGACTTGGTGAGCAATTATATATATATTATAGGGGAGGAATCAAATGCCAAACAGATGTTCTTGGTTTTTATGGCATTTACATTCTTGTGTATGTAAAACAAGGAGAACAGTTGACAACATGTATGAGTTATAGTTAGTAGAAGACTTACATTTTGATCACAGGTGTGTCCATATATGAAAGTATTCACTGAGCCTGGGTTCTTTCTGTTAAATTAAGCCCTACAAAACTCAGTTTTAAGATTAAACGTATATGGGAGCTGGGGGCAGAAAGTCAGGGGATAGTGTAAAAGTAAAACCAAAAATTAGGGTTTGTAACTTGCCTATTTTAAGAAAATACTTGAGGCAATGGGAGTAAGATTTTTCTCAAGTTGAGAAAGATTTGTAAGAGAATGGAGGAGTGGAGAAAAAAGGTTGGGAAGAAAGATGGCAATGCTGGTGGGGTGGGTGCTGATGGTGGTGTGATTGATGGGAATCAGAATATTTTGGCAGGGGAAGAGGTCATGAAATTTTGATTATTAGAAATAGGAGTGGAAAACCCTGATTTGGAGAAAGAAAATGGGGAAGGTCCCCTAACAGCAGTTGGCTCTTTCAGCCTTGGTTACATAGAGCCTCAGTTTGTACTAATGGTAAGCTCTGAAAGCAGATTACATTTTTTTCTCTACAAATCTGCTTTGGGATATTTTAATTGGTTTTTTTTTTAAGTTTGGTTTATATTAATTTCATATTGGTGATATTTTTGGTAGGAGGATGAAATAGACTTTTACCCCTGTTTCTCTTCTTACCTTTGTGGAAATTGCCAATTTTTAGGAATTGACATATGTATAGAATAGAAAGGACATTTGTAAAGACTACAAAATAGTGCATATATTTGGCCCGGTTCCTATTTGGATTTTGGGTTCCTTTATTTTTTTATTTTTTAAATATATTTTTATTGATTCAGAGAGGAAGGGAGAGGAAGAGAGAAATAGAAACATCAATGATGAGAGAGAATCATTGATGCGCTGCCTCTTGGCCACCCCACAACCGAGGCATGTGCCCTGACTGGGAATCAAACTGTGACCTCTTGGTTCATAGGTTGACGCTCAACCACTGAGCCATGCCAGCTGGGCTGATTTTGGATTCCTTTAAATTTTCATTCCTGACCTTCTATTCTATTCTTTGTTCCCCTGGCACTTAGCTTTCCAATTGTACAGTATTTTTATAGGTATTGAGTGTAATTGTTGTGTCATGTCATATTTTCCTCAGGTATTAGGAAAAGTTTTCCCTTCCTTCTTTCCTCCCCCTCTGCTCCTGCCTCTATACCCCTCTTCTTTTTTAGCACAATCCTGGGCTCCCTGTGCTCTGGAGCCTTCTTTGCCCCTATTGTAGTTTTTCTTGGCACTGCCAGTTCTCAGTTCAGAGCTAAAATGTACATATGTACTTTAGAACCTTTGATATAATGTCCTTGGTGTGTTGGGGATCCTCTCCAGTTGTTTTGAGTGCACTTAATGGCACAGCATGTGCTATCTATTGTAAATTGGCTGTAATACATTCAGCCTTCGCATGTGGGTAGATTTTTCCCTTGGCTATCCTGAAGGTAGAGTTGACTTTCTTGCCTTTGTCATTTTTCTTTAATTTCTCTCCAAGTGAGGAAGTATTAATGAAATGCAAAATATTTCTAAGAAATAAAACTTCCAAGAAATTGAAACTATAAAAAAATTACCCATAATCCAGCTACTCCATTGGATCAGATTTACAACTCTGCTATTCTTATTAATGTGCTTGTTTATTGTACATAGAGGTAATCACAGTATAAACATAACACTAACATTTTCCATGTGATTACACTTTTCAAAATTATAACATTAAGAGAAAAGTAATTTTTAGACATTTAATAAAACATTACATAATTATTTTCAAATTTAAACAATACTAAAGGATGAAGGTTTGTTCCCTCACCCGGGGGAGGTAACTACCAGTAGTTTAATCTTTATCATTCTAGGTTTTTTTCTTTTATTTGCCAGTGCACATAAGTAATTTGAAATTGTTTTTATTAGATATGGAGTAGATAAAAATAGCACGTATAAATCATAGATAAAGTAGAAAGAATCACAATACAGTGAACACCCATGTACCTAATGCCCAGAGTAAGAAAAAGAATGTTATCCTATATAATAAAAGCCTGATATTCTAAGTGTCTGGTCAACCAGTCGGCCGTTTAACCAATGAAAGCGTAATATGCTAATGATATGCTAAGGCCACTCAACCGCTCGCTATGATGTGCACTGACCACTAGGGGGCAGATAGTTGACTGGTTAACCAGTTGCTATGATGTGCACTGACCACCAGGGGGCAGACATTCGACCAGTTGCTATGATGTGCATGGACCACTAGGGAGCAGATGCTCTGACCGGTAGGTTAGCTTGCTGCTGGAGTCTGGCCAATTGGGACTGAGCAAGACGGGCCAGACATGCCCTGGAGCCCTCCTGTGGACCACCTCCTGCATCTCTCTCTGGCCCTGATCGTGCACCAGTGGGGTCCCTCGGACTGGGCTGCGCCCTCTCACAACCCAAGACCCCTCGGGGGATGTCAGACAGCTGGTTTTGGCCCAATCCTGCAGGCCAGGCCAAGGGACCCCACTGGTGCATGAATTCGTGCACTGGGCCTCTACTCTTTTATGAAATCCTATGGTGACCTTCCCTTTCCATTCTCTTTCTTCTCCCTTCAGAGGTAACTGTTATCTAGAATTGTATGTTTTTCATTCCATCCTAACAATAGTTTTAATCATGAATGTTTAGTGTATGTGTGTGTATATGCATATATATAATTTCTGAACTTTTTATAAATGGAATATATCATATTTTTTTTTGCAACTTGTTTTTTGGTTAAGTACTAATGTTTAACAATGTGCAGTTGTAATTCACTCCTTACACCACAGTGTACTTTTATTTTTAAAATATATTTTTATTGATTTCAGAGAGGAAGGAAGAAGGAGAGAGCGAGAAACATTAATGATGAGGGAAAATCATTGATTGGCTGCCTCCTGCATGCCCTGAAACCCAGACATGTGCCCTGACCAGGAGTTGAACCGTGACCTCCTGGTTCATTGGTTGACGCTCAACATGATGGTGAACATATATGTACGTTAAAAAATTATAGATAGAGGCTCATTCTCCAACTTTTCTGGCAATACGCTCTTTCTGTTTAACATTGTTTTAAAATATTTTCAAGTCAGTATAATTAGATATACCTTATTCATTATTATTATTATTTAATAGTTGAATCCTGTTTAATAGCATGGGATGGACTATTATTTATTTAGCTATCATCTGTGAGAAACATTAAGATTCAGTTTTTTTTCTGTAATAGTAGAGTTATATATTAAATTTTGATAGTTATAGCCATAAATGCTTTAAAAGTTATATCAGCTAACAATCCTAAGGGCAATACATGAATTGCCATTTCTTCTATACTTGGCTATAGTGAAATTTTTTTTTTTTTTAATTTTTTCACTCTGAGCAAAAAACCCCTCAAATTTTATTTTGTAGTTTCTTGATTTGTAATGAGGTTATGAGCATCTTTTCATATATTGATTTGTAAGTTTCCTTATTTTACCCAAAAGTATTTAATCTCTACTAAATTTTTTGTTTTCTTTTTCTATTTAAAATTTCCAGCCACACACTTATATGAATCTTTATTACAAGTCAGCCTTTTATATGATCTGAATGCACAGTCTTACCGCAGAACTTTTGCTTTTTCTAAGAGTGCTTACTGAATGCCTGGGACTACTTCACTTCTTGCCAGCTATGTGTATTTTTTCATTAAGGCCCTGTTCCCATTTTTCAGATAAGAAAACTAAAGAAATTTAAGTAACTTGTCCAAGTTCACATAGCCAGCAAGTGATGGAACTAAGTCACTGATTTCAGAGCCTGAACCTTAACCAGTACATTGTATTATATGCTGTTCTTTCTTCTACTTTAGGGCTTTTGTGAAGCTCCCCCTAGCTATTCCAAACATTGGTCTCTTTTTTCCTGAGCCTTTTAAAAATTAACAGTGTAGACCATAAAATTTAGCACAAGGATAAGGTAGAAATCACTGGAGCATATAGATGTGCCTGAGATTAATGGAGTGATAATACAGCTTACATTTTTTTTAAAGTTTCATCAGAGATTAATGGAGCAATAATGCAGCTTAAAATTTCTTCCCACAGATAGGCAGATAGTTGTGTGTTTTTTCTCTTAGACTACTTTATTCCAATTTGAGGAATCATTTGGAAATGAAAAAATCAGGGTCGTTAATTTTTTGATCAGTGACTGGGGCAAGATAAAAAGAGCCTGAGTAACTGCATAGTTTTATTTTTTTTAAATTCATCACCTCCACTAAAAGTCTTTTCATTTTTAAAAATAAAATGCCAGTTGCTGAAATGTTTTTATAAAAATGATTTATTATAGTAACAATCATGTGCTTATTAAAAAGTAGACAAATAGTTTAAACAAGATAGAAATTTATATTTTATATGCAATCAACTTGGAGGGAAGCATTTCATGACTGGTTTGGTTACTTCTCTGTTATCAAGGGACTTGCTCGTTCTTGTTACTCTGTCATCTTTAGTTTATCACAAGTAGCATATTGTCCAAGATGGCTGTTCAAACCCTAGTCATCTTGGTGGTAGTCTAGATAGGAAGGAGGAGGAAATGTAGGCAGGCCACACATCTCCTTTAAAAGGAAACTTCCAGGAAATTCCTTAAAATACCATAGCCGTGGCCATGCGTAGCTTCAGAGAGGCTGGGAAATGTAGTTAAGTGGACATGTTGCTATCTCTAGCAATATAGAGCATATGTTATGTGGAGGAAGGAGCCATTAATGTTTGGGTGAACAACTAACAGTGTCTACTGTGAAGAGAAAATGATGTAAATTTCTGTTTATAGTGCTGTTGCAGTTGGGCAAGAAATCATCCTAATGTCACTAATGAACTTCATTAAATAGTTCAGTTTCCAGAAATTTCAAAGAATTCTCTTTCAGTTAAGATTAATAAGTGTAAATCATTAACTAGTGTCCTGATGTAGTTAGGTATGAAAATACTTTTTTTGAAAATATTGTATACTTTATGAGAGATTAACATTTACCTTGGATATGTGCAAGAAGGTACTTTAGCTATATTAAAAATATATATATTTTTTCGAGATATTTTTACATGGATTCTTTCATTAGTACTTAAATTTTTTATTATCTTTATTGAAGTACAATTTACATACAATAAAATGTACCCTTTTAAAGTAAATAAGTACATTTTCCTGTCTTAACAAATATATGTGTTTGTGAAACTGCTGCATCTCCAAGTAACCATGCTGTTACAATAGATTCATTTTGCTTTTTCTATAATTTTTTATAACTGGAATTATAGTCTACAGTGGTCTTTATCTGGCTTCAAAGTTTCTTTAAATAGGTCATTCCTTTTTATTGCTAAGTTGTAGTTCCTTGTATCGATATACCACAATTTGCCTATCTATTCTTTTATTGATGATTATGAACTCTCATGTACTGGTTTTTATGTGTGGCATATGTTTTTATTTCTGTAAATATAGGAGTGCACTTGCTGAGTCATGTGGGAAGTAGAGGTTTCAATTTATAAAGCTCTGCTAAACTGTTAAAAAATGGTTGTACATTTCCCCCCCCCCCCCCCCCACCACCCCAGGCTATATATGAGTTCTAATTGCTATTCCAAGGTAGTGAAGAATTTTCTCATATGATTTCTTTCGGAAGTTTTGTTATGGTAATTATTAGGTTTCTGGTCTATGATTAAGTGATCCATTTTTAACTTAATTTAATTTTTTTTTGTTTTGTGATGTGAGGTAAGGGTTTACGTTCTTTCTGCATGTGGGTATGTTGTTTTCCAGTATCATTTGTTGAAAAGATTTTGCTTTACCCATTGAATTATCTTGATATCTTTGTTAAAAATTAATTGAATGTGTCTGTATATGTGTATGTGCATGCATGGGTTTATTTCTAAATGCTATAATTCTGTTCATTTGATCTACATGTCTCTTATGGCAATACTGTGCTATCGTGATTACTGAAATTTAATAGTGTGTGTCTTAATTCAAAGAATTTGTCTATTCTGAGTAGTTGTAATCCTATCTAATAAAGAGGAAATATGCTAATTGACCCTCATGCCATCACAAAAGATGGCAGCGCCCACAGCCAATGAAGAGGGAATATGCTAATTGACTGCCCCACCCTCAGAAATGGCGGCATCCACAGCCAATAAGGAAGGAATATGCTAATTGACCCTCATGCCATTGCAAAGATGGCGGCTCCCACAGCCAATAAGGAGGGAATATGCTAATTGACCCTTACACCATAGCAAAAGATGGCAGCACCCACAGCCAATAAGGTGGGAATATGCTGACTGCCCTGCCCTCAAAGATGGTGGCACCCACAGCCAATAAGGAGGGAATATGCTAATTGTCTGTCCCGCCCTCAAAGATGGCGGCACCCACAGCCATAAGATGGCAGCGCCCAGTCCCCTCAGCCCCGCTGGGGTGGCAGGTGCATGGCTGCTCTGTGCGCCTGTCTCTGGAGTCCCCCAGTCTCCTCAGCCCCCCAGCCACCCAGGGCCGGCCCGAGGCGCAGGTAACCAGGGCCGGCTGAGGCTTGCGCTGCCAGCAGTGGCAGCAGCAGAGGTGTGATGGGGCATCGCCTTCCCGTGATCGCCGGGTTGCCTCCTGACCCTGAAGGCTCCCGGACTGTGAGAGGGGGCAGGCCGGGCTGAGGGACCCCCCCCACCTTCAATGTATGAACCGGGCCTCTAGTTATTGACATAAAGTTGTTTATACTAATTCTATTGTCCCTTCAGTGTCTTTATGATGTGAAGCAATTCCATATCAATCATTTCTGGTAGTTTGTCTTTTATTTCTTTCTTGATTAATTTAGTGAAAAATTTATCAATTTTATTGATCTTTTAAAATAACCAGTTCTTCATTTTGTTTGTTTTGTTTTTTTATGTTTCATTTATTGCTTCTCTGTTCTTAATTATTTCTTTTGCTCAGTTTTACATTTTGCTTAGTTTACACTTTCTCACTTTTGAAGGAAGAATCTGAGAGCAATATTTATTTTTCTTACTTTTTAATATACATATGTAAAATGACAGATTTCTCTTTGAGCACTGCTCTGCTTGTGTTCCATACATTTTGGTATATATTGTTTTCATAATCATTCAGTTCAAAATATTTCTTAGTTTCCCTTGTGATACACACACACACACACACACACACATACACTCACACACACATTTTGGTCCTATGCATTATTTAGAAGTATTTAATTTCCGGATTTTCTGTGTGTGTGGTATTCTCAATATTTTGTTAATTTCAAATTTAATTTTTTCAGAAGCTTCAAATTTTGAAAATATATTGTTTTATTGCCCAGCGTATGGGTTTCTCTTGGTGAATGTTCCATGTGCACTTGAAAAGAATGTGTATTCTATTGTTGAGTGTAATGTTTTATAAACGGCTATGTTGGTTGACAGTGTTGTTCATGTTTTCTATATTCTTATTGATTTTCTGTCTACTTGTTTTATCAGTTGCTGAGAGGAGGCCTATTGAAATCGCCAATTATAATTCTGGGTTTGTCAATTTTTCCTTTTAGATATATCAGTTTTGCTTCACATATTTTGAAGCTTTGTTATTAGGTGCCTACACATTTGTGATTTATGTCATCTTGAAGAATTGACATTTTTATCATTACAAAACCTTTTTCTTTATTCCTAGTAATAGTCTCTTGAAGTCAACTTTGATGTTAATCTAGACACTTCAACTCTCTTATAGTTTGTTACATGATATATCTTTTTAAAAATCATTTTACCTTTAACCTAACTTGTCTTTATATTTAAAGAGCATTTCTTGTGGGTCTTTAAAAATTTTATCCATTCCGAAAATCAATGTCTTTTAATTATAATAGTTAGACTATTTATATTTAATATAATGATATTGATACGATTGGCTTTAAGTCTGCTATCTTGGCCTTTTCCCTTACGTGTCCCATCTAACTTCTATTCCTTCTTTTTTTCTATTTTCCTGTGTGCTTTTGGATTATGGAGTATTTTCTTATGATTCCATTTTATGTTCAAAATTGGCTTACT